TGGAAACCAACAGCTTCTTCCAAGGAGGGGCAACTCTCTCTTGAGACTCTTGGGGTTACCTGCAAAATGTTTGAAGTGGCCCCAGCTTCCAGCCAAATACTCATTCAGTGTCTGAGCGCACTCTGGGTGTAAGCCGATGTTGTTCTGTGCTCTGTGGGACTTTAGGACAGTTCCCAGTGGGGTGATCTCACACGATGTCCTTGGCTTGGCTCGGTCTGTGGTTGGTTTAGTACCTCCCTGTTGGTCTTCACACAACTCATTTCTCATTCTGCCTTTAGCCTTAAATTATTCCAGCTTCTCCCAGGCACTCAGCACCTCTCTTCCCCAGCCTGTTTCCCAGATGGGAAAGGCTGTGGTCCCTCCTGGTGCAGCCAGAGCAGGCTTGGCGTGTGCCCATAACTGCAAATACTGGAGCTGTGGCAATTCCTTCAGACCGAGAGTCCAAAGCTCCCTGCTGTGGAGCTGAGGTTGAGGAGTGTCCTGGGATGAAAGCTGCCTTCTAGAGGAGGATTTGCTCACAGAGTGGTTGTGCAGCAAAGCTTGCCCTCCCTTACGATAAACCCTTCTGGAGAAGCAGCTCTGGGAGGTGCAATTTGCACCTCTCTGCACAGGCAGAGGTGTGAATTGAGTGAGGAAGCTGCCAGGCTTTGCTTCCTCCTTGGGAAACCACCAGGATTGTTTTCCACTGGACAACAAGGAGAAAGGGTCACTCATTTTGTGAGCACGGATTTGTTGCCCTTGCCCAGGTTGTTTCTGTGGGCCCTGACAATCTGGGAAGTGGGTCTGTGGGTGATCCAGCAGCTCCTGCCCTGCTCCTGTAGGATGGGGCTGCATTGCTGGGCTGGACTGAAGGTGTGGGAGAAGTGCTGGGCCTGGGTGACAAACATCACTTCTCTGCCTTCACTCCTGGAAATTACTGACAGTCCTTTGCTGTTTTGGCTGATACTTGCATGTGAAATCCTGCTTTTTAAAAGGTAGCAAAGATTCACAAGCTAACACCAACCCAGTGTGGTTTTATGTGCAGAGCTGGGTGGTGGCACAGTCAAGTTTGGGGGTTTTTTTGGTTTTTTTTTTGTTTGTTTGTGGTTTTTGGTTGTGTTGGTGTTGTGAAATTTCTCAGGAGTAACTGGAAAATGCTTTTTCCAACAGGACACATTACACCTTATCTTACCTGTTCAGGTTCACAGAATGCTCTGAGCACAAAGGAGGGCATTTAATGAACTTAATGAATCCATCAATTAAAGAAAATTCATGTGCATTCCATGATCGGATTCTTATTTCAAGGCCAAACTCTATTCAACCCAGCCCAGTATCCCCTAGCAAAGAGAATTTTAAAATATAATATCAATTGTTGCATGTGGATATTTTTAAAAAGACGAGTTAGGTAAAAGGCATCAATGCCTATCTTACACAAAGATAGAGATGTAATGAATGCTTTCACAGAAATAAGATTTTTTTACCAATCTCCTGCCAATTTGTCTGCATTTATCGTTTGCTCCTTTAAACAAAAGTTAGAGAAATTATTGCTAGCAAACAAAGATCTATTTTAGACAAACACAGTATGTCCTCAAAGATCCAGTTTGTCATGCTGATAGTCTCATTGGCTGTGATTTGTATATTAAAAAGATTTTAATTGCCCAGGTAAGTGCCTGCACCTGCTAAGACATTGAATATTTGAGCACTTTATTCTAATCTCTTATAATATAGGGCACACTTCACCCATAAAATTATTCTCTACACAATTATAGCTCGGTTTTGCTGAGGTAGAAAGTGCAACTTAACTGTTTGGTTTTGCTCATTATTATTAAAATCATGCAAATGAGGACCATTAGGTAACAGTTGTGTAGTTAAGCACTCAATAGGCTGGTGACTGCTTTTCCTCCCCACTACAGACAGCTCCAGGGGTGGGGATGTGGTGTCTTGTGCCTGTGCTGGGTGGGCAGTGGGCTCTGAGAGCATGAGGAGCTTACCTGTAATATCACCACCAATTTTGTTCCAACTACTGGGATTTCTCATGCATCCTATTTCCATTTAATGGAAATCTGTGATTTCAAAACACAGAGATCTGTTCTGACTCAGCACAAAGTTTGAGATTGCCTGTAAAAAACATTTCTGGGATTGGCTCTTTTGAATTAGTCAAAATGTTCTGGTTCAGCAAATCAAACGGTTTCATTCCAATTCAGTACTTTTATAATTAGGGATATAATGCAAAGTAACGGTTCAGAACAACTTTTTCTTTGGCGATGAATAATTGACTTGCTCTGTTCCAATGAAATTTAATTTTAGGGTTTATTCTCACCAAAACAAAGTTATTAATTGCTGTCTCAATTATACCTTTATTGTAAGCATGCCATGCAGCTGAAAAGGGAAAATCCCATGCTCTGAAGTCCAGGACACTCTGTAGCTCCTACCTGCAGCCAGGAACACAACACAAATGGTCTGTGCCATGGACCCTCCTTCAAATTAATCTCTGGAGTAACTCCAGGGCCTTCAGTGGAGTTGCTCCAGGAATAAATTTGACTCCCCAGTTTTCATCCAGGTGGGTTTATTTGGATATCACAAGGTAACTGTGTGGCCATAAATCCATAAAAGGATTTATGGTTCTTGCAGGCAGCTCCTGCAGGTCCCGAGGTGAGATGCTGGAATTATCAGGGTGATTTGTTTTATTTTGTCATATGTCAAGGAGGAAATAAATAGTCATCATTTTATTTAGGTGTGCAGAAGTGCTGGATGCACTGACAAAGGTGTTGGGCAGAGGAACCAGAACCTCCTGGGTTCAGGGTGAGTTTCCACTCAAAGCTGGGCTTAGACTAAAGGCCCCTTTGCAATGTGAGAGCCTCTCACAGCCATAAATGTGGGATCTGACATTGGAAGTAAATATCTTCAGACAGCTCCTTGCCAAAGTGGTGAAATCCATCCTCAGCAGACGTGGCTGCTTGGCTTCTTTAGGAGCAAAAATATTCAAGATGTCTCCTGTAAGGAGTTTGGATAGACAGGAAAGCTGCTGCTGTACGCATAAGGAGAATAATCTGGGATGTTTTAAGTGGAAGGAGAAATGGGATGAAACTGAGCTAAGGAAAACTTCAAGCCATGGAAAAAATAATACAGGCTAGTGGTGTGTGGACTGGTCTCCTGAGAGATCTAGGAAAGCCATGCCACAGTGCCCAGTGAAAACCACAGTGGGAATAGACTAAAGAAAAATATTGTAGTTGTCAGCAGGATGGACAAGGTGCCCTGTGGGATTTTCAGAGTGATTCAAGGAGTGTTTGTTTTCATGTTTTGTTTTCTAATTGGCCAAAACACACACAGCAGACTCTCACAGGACTGTGCTGAGCCAAAACTCGTGCTGAAGTCCTATGAAGAACATTTGAGCCTGCCCCCTTGGAAAATGTCCACGGGTGAAATTGTGGGAGGTACGACATGTGCGAAATTCCAAAAAATGCTCATTTCCCTGTACATCCTCCCTACAGGGGACATGTGTGTAATTAGCAATTGCTTCCAGTAAATGGCTCTCTGATCATGATGAAAATCCAGTTTGGAGGAAATTGTTGTAAAAACCACAATTTATGGCTGGGCCCTCACAATAAGAAGTGCCTGGCTGGTGGAACACCTCTGCTTCCAACCCAGTGTTGTTGTACGAAGGGCTGGGTTTGGGGTTTGTCTGCCCCACGCCTCTGGCAGCATGGTGGGGGGGAAGGAAGTGCCCTCTTGAACACGGCTGATCTTCCACTCCATGACTTTCATGGCTTTTGTACACCATGGCCATGTGGTGGTTGGAGGATACAACCCCTAAAGAAACCTCTTAAAAGCAGCTCTCATTCTGTTTTTCTTTTTCCTTGGAGTAATATTGTCTCTTGATGCTCCACTGATGTAAAGTCCTTATTGTTAGATGTCCCACGGGGGAGATCCCTCTTCCCTCTTGCCATCTGGATTGTCTGGGCTTGGCATAATTGAGGATGGAAGTCTTTCTCCCATTTACTCCATCCTTTGTGAGACTTGACTGCTTCTTCAGACCAGCACAGTCTCTCCAGCATCCCTGTGCTGCAGAGGATGAGCCTTGACTGCTGTGCTGCTCCTCAGTCCCTTGTCCCATGTGTCACCGAGGGCACCTGGCCTTGTCCTGCTCTTTCCAGGGCCTTTGGTGGTTGCACTCACACACAGGAGCAGCTCAACACTCTTGTAATACTGGAAAAGAGGGCTTCTGAGCACCTTGGTGATGAGTTTTAGTCCCTCAGGGCTAACATCGCCATGCTACTGAGTCTGCAAAGTGAGGGGAATACACGGAAAGTTGATACTGTTTTACTATTACTATTAGTATTATTATTATTTTGAACAAGACCACTATTCTGCGACCACATCCCTACCTGCTGAATCTAGTCTGCAGGCACAATAGCTCCTCACAGCCTGTTTCCCCCTTGATTCCTTTTCTAAATCATAAATACTGCAAATTGTGGAGAAATTCTATAAACAAAGAGGTTCATATCTGAACTCATCAGGACAATGCTATGTTTATATAAACTGCTACTTGTGGCGAGGGGGTATATGACAATTTTTTATTGCTGGCAAAGGACATATTATTCAAATATATGTAGGGAAAATAGAATGAGCTTGATAAAATTGGGATGCCCCTAGCAATCAGAGTTTCACTTTAAAATAGCAATAATAATTGAAGCGCCATTCTGCCCACCTGCACCGCAGTCAGTGCTGTACTCCTTTTGCAAATGCCAGAAGTTTATTTTTTGCGACTGGTGTGTCTGTGGTGGGTGAGGAGTGATCCCAGCTCGGGGTGAGCTGCCTGGGAATGGGCTGGAACGTCCCAGTTTGCTGATGGATGGGCTGCCCTGTGCTGGGATCCGGCTCTCTGGGGCTGCTGCTTCCCAGCTTCGCCTGCTGACCTCGGTGCTTTTATCCGGAGTAACCACATGTGCATTTATCACACAACTTTATGAACAGTGAAGGTTTATTACATTGCACTTAAACCTCGTTTAACCTTTTCGCAGGAAGCAATGCTCTAAAGTGGGATTGCAGGAGTTCGCAAAATTCCGCAAGTGCTTCCTGGGCAGGGTGTGCACAAGCTCCCCCCAGGAGAAAATGCAGGTACAAACCCCACATCTGTTGTCTTCATCGTTCTGCTGTGAGGAAAAATATTGCAGCCTAGGAGAGATTTATGGGAAGACATAACTTTAGATTTTTTTATTTTATTTTTAATTTCTAAATTAACCATTGGCTCAAAAATACGCGTATCTTCCTCTTGAATGCTGGCTCTTGCAGCCCCGATTCCTCCCTGTGCAGGTGGCCTTGGGGCAGTCCTCAGGCCCAAAGACCTCCTCTGAGCTGTCACACTGCTCAAAAAGCTCCAGTCCTGGAGGGAAAAGGGAGAAATAGAAAGCTGGAGCTGAGCAGTACAGAGAGCTTCCTGGCAGGAGCAGTGCCCCAGGGGAGCTAATGCAAATCCTGTCACTTGGGATGGTAGAATCTTGAGTGAATGAAGTTCCACCCCAAAGATAGCAGGGGGGCATCCTTCACAGGTGAGGAAGGGGCTTGGGAGACTCCCAAGCTGGGTAGTCTTTTTCCAAGTGTACTTCCAGTGGTTTACATTTCTATTCTGGATCAGCCTGAGCTAGTAAAATGTTTGTGTCATTTGGAGTTGGAAAAACATGAGGAAAAAAATGTGAGGGATGATCAACAGCACTTAGTGAAATTACAAAAATCTTAATTCTGGCAGAGAGGGAAAAAAAACCCCTTCACTTTTGTTTTCTACAGAGCCAAAATATTTTATAAAAAATTAGCTTTGATCATCTCACACCTGATGTCCCCTCCACCACCTTGGACATCTTCTCTCATAGGAGTTGTAAACACAAAATTTCCATCATCAATGAAGACATCTCTTAGAAAGTCAGAGCCCCTGCAAGAAGCAGTCAAAAATAAACACATCTTCCAAGTGGGTGGCAAGTGTTGCCAGAGGTTGATAGGAATTTTCTGTAGGTCTGGGAATAAGCAGAGGAGTCGTAGGAATGGCTCTACTGAAGGTGCTTGGGCCAGAGAACGCAGCTTGCAAGGCAACCTGATGATGAAATCAATAATTTACCTCATGGTACGGCTGAGATGGGTTGAGTCTTCCCAAGTCAACTTAGAGGTAAGCAAGAATGTGCCATAACAGTGTGTTTTTGAACCACAGGATAGAGGCTTAATTGATTTGCTCTTTATTCTTTGCAAAAGACAGCTGAATGTCAAAGGTCTTTCTTTTGTGAAGTACTGGAAAACCCGTTGTCAAACAACCTCTACTCATTTAATAATTTATCCCATTTTGTAAAAGAAAGGCAGCTGACACGCACTAAATCTAGTCCGTGTTTAAATTACTGCATTGAACAATAATAAGAGGAATGAATAATCTAGTACATCTATTTAAAATTAAACATATATGAAACTGTTTTTCCAAATGATCACCAAGGGCTATAGTTTAAAGGCAGGACAGAAGCCATGAGCAGAATGAAAATGCCGAGCAGTAGTTTGCAAGTGGCAGCAGAATTATTTATTCTATTTTTTCTATACATAAGGAATAGAGCTAAATGAACAATGTTTAAGCATGTCAGAATTTCATCAATTTTGCATGAGCGTTCACAAATATCCTGGTGGGGGTAATTGCTTGCAAATACATTTAAACTAATGATATGTTATGTCCTTACTTGATATAAAACTATTAAAAGATACGTTATTGCATTTGACAATGCCATGAAGCTGGGTCAAAGCTTAATGACAGATTTCTGCATTCGTAAATTAAGATATACTCTGCTGGAAGCAAATATTTTGTAAAAATAAAAGCCATCTACTACGAAAGTTTGATCATTGATCTAAGGTTGCTTGTTGGTTTCTCCAGCCACTGGGCTTGCAAAGGTAGAGGAAAAGGAGATTCCATTGCAGAGGCAACTCTGGAAATCCCAGAGTGGCTCTTGCAGGTGCAACAGGGCTAAGGAGGCTTGTCTGAGACACCCAGTGGTTTTAACTGTCCCATTGGAGACTTGGAGCTTGTGCAGCAGCTGCTGGGAGTGCTGGCTTTCCTGTGGGAAGAGGGAGAGTTTATTCTACCTAAGGTTGAACGTGCTGTGGATGTTCTTTAGCCTGAGAAGGAATTCAGGAAACAGGTACTGATGGCCTCAAAAGACTGAGGAAGCCCGGTAGGCTGAGGTTAGTGTGATGAGTTTAAGGTCTGGCCATTGCTTAGATCCCTGCCTGGTTCAGTGTGGAAGGAGGGTGCCATGGAGCAGCTCTGTGGGCATCAGCTCTTAATTTGTGACACTCTGCTGGTGAGCAATTTCAGTTATTTACTGAAGGCTATATTAAATATGAAATACTTAAAAAATGTCCCCAGGATGCAGCCAGGCAGCTTTCACCAGGCAATAGAAAGGTCTTGGGGCAGTGCAGATGCCTGAGAAATACTGTGTTGTCCCAGGAGATGCCATGGGGACATGACAATTGTAGGAGAGAGAAGGCACTGATCAACGTTTACTGATGGTTTCTGGGTGGTGTGAATTTTGTGATGATGTGGGGCACTGTATCCACACCAGCAAAGGAAATATTCCTTGTGGAGGGCAAGGCATCCCACAGAGATGTGGCTGCCCTCTGCCCGGCATCAAGTGGAGAGGTGCCAGCAGTGACAATAAACCCTCATTTTCCCCATCCAAAAGGCCACCCCAAGCTGTTGTGATGGCCATGGGATCGGGTCTAGATGGGCCCTGGCATGTGCTTGGGCATCTGGAAGAGGGTCTGAGCAGCTGCTCCGGGATGTTTTATGGCTCTTGCCACAGCCGGCAGTGTCTGCTGCATGGCAATCCTGAAATATCCCTTCCCGTCACCTCTCGCGCTCTTCCACTCTTTGAATTGCTCTGATTCCCAACATCATTGAGGATTATTATAACCTCCCCTCATAACGTACTATAAATTTTATTATAAAGCACGAATTCTTTGGCTCCCAAGCCCCATCTTGCAGGGAGACAGCGCGCTGTAGTTCTTCCGCTCGCAGTAATGTGAGCAGAGAGCTAATGAAGATCTTTATGCAAATTTTCCAGCTATCAGGTGAAATCTTCACATCGAAATCTGTCACATGTTATAAAAATTCTTTATGTTATCAAATGCTAATGATAACTCAGAACACAGAGCCCACGGAGGAGCTTTGAAATCCTTCATAAAAACTGCATTCGGCCCCAGCAACCGGAGCCTTGGATTTCTACTCCGACTACTCCAGTTTGTAATTAGCATAGTGCAGGCTTCTCTGCCCTCTGAAACCATAATGTTAATTACAAAAATTACACTGTGTTTAAAAGTGCAATTAAGAGACTGTGCTGCACAAAGGGAGCCCTGGAACCTCTTTGCACACTTTGAAGCCAGGTCACAACGCAGCCCATGAAAGAGAGTCCAAGGCTCGCTCCCTGCTAAAGGCTTGGGAAGATCATAGGGAGAGCTCAGCTAAAATGAGCTCTGGTGGGCTCTGCTCAGCCCTTAATGAACAATGCTCTTCCTTGGGAGGGAAAGTGGTAAAAGGCAGAGGGTGGGGGGAGAATATTGAACTAATTAAGGACCTGATCCTGCTGTGGTTCTTGCATCTGCTTGGGGTGACTGCTGCAGTGGGGAACGAGTGCCGGATCCGGCCTTGGCAGGGCACGGTGCAATCACAGCTGCAAGCAGCCTCTGATTGCCTTGGTATTTACACAGCACCTGAAAGTGAAAAAGCCCAGTGTTTCCTTGTGTCTTTGCTGTATTGAGTCACTTGGAAAAAAATTTAATTCTTCTGCCCTGGTCAGCAGCTAGAGGGTTTGCTCTGCTCTGGGCAGCTGGGGTGTCCCCTGTGATTTGGGTGGCGCTGGGTCTGAGCGTGGTGGCTGCCAGTCGAGGGAGCCCTTGGTTGTCCTGCCCTTCTCAGCTCACAAAGGGAGGAAAAGGCAGCTCCAAAGTGTTTGTGGAGGGGCACAAAAAAAGCTGGAAAGCTGAATTGCACAGTGCCAAATGCTGTATGAAAGACTTGGGGAAAAAACTGATTAATTTTTTTTTTTTGGGGCCTCTTAAATCACTTGATAATATAAACTGTGGTAGTCCCCTCCACCAAAGACCTTCCAAGTGCCTTGTGCAAGGTGTTAATTAATTAATTAAGACCCAGAGCACCCCTCTGTGGTCAGTATCTGCACACCAGCTTGTACATAGAGAAATTGAGGCACGGCCAGTGGCCGGAGGGGATGTGGGCAGTGGTGCCCAGGGCAGGAGAGCCCCTGGAGCTTCATCTTTTCCTTCTGCACCCGCAAATAGTTCTTCTCTGGCTGGAAGAACCCAGGCAGCCCCGTGGGTGTTTGGGAGGAGGGTGGTGTGGGGAGCAGACACCGGAGCCCAGCATTGCAGGCCTGTGCCCCAGCTGAATTCCAAGGCCACCTCCATCGGCACAAACGGAGCTCGCAGTGATGCTCGTGGGGCAGGATTCGGCCACGCCGGTGTGGGAAGGCTGTCAGCCTGGTTCTGATACAAATCACAAGCCGGTTCCTTGAATTTTCCAGTAACTTTTCCATACAGCCTCATGTAAAAAAGCTTCAATAACTGTTCAATAAATCATCCAGCTGACCTTTTCCAGTAAAAACGAGCACTGCCATGGGTGATGCCGAGAGCGTGTGTGTGGTGGGGGCATGGGGGAGCCCAGCTTTTGCCAAGAAACTTCAGTGCAGCCAGCAGCCTTGGGTTTATTTTGCTTTGGTGCTTAAAAAAAAAAAAAGAAAAAAATCCTCTTTCCTTCTCTTTGCCTTCTACCTGCCCAACTGGTTATAGACCCAGACAGTTTACATATGTGATCCTTCCTATTTAGAAAATTAATGGTGTTTTCTGGCTCCAAATCACAGCTTGTGGTGCTCTGCAGGCGATGAAAAACTTGGCCAGCTTCAGCAGCAAAGCAGCCATTAGAAAATTAACCCTTGGTGGCAAAAGAGCAAAGGTACCCCAGCGAGGTCCAGGAGAAGTGGCAGGCTGCAGCTTTCAGGTGTAGCTACATATGTTAGCAATGTAAAACCAGCGCAGGCAGTCCCCCCGGAGAGTGCCCATCAAGCGTGTTTGTAGCTGGATGCTGTGGAGAGGGCATGGCCATATCACTTGGCAGCCAGAGCGACCAATATGCCACGGTTTTCATTAGAGCACAGGAGAAGTGCTGAGCGGAGATTATGAATCAGAGACGCCTCTCTCAGCTCTACCTGGCTGCACAGCACTCGGGCGGCTGCTCTCTGGTGTTCCAGTGGTTCCCCACTGCTCCAGCCTTAGCTCTTCTCCCATCCTTCTGTCTGTTGTTGGCACCAGTGCATGGGAGCCTGGATGTTCAGAGAACTTAATTTTTTTTTTTTTTTAATGGATATGAGGGGGCTAATGCATTGCTGCCAGTTCTGTTTTGGCTTTGAGAGGTGAACTCTTCTAGGTTGCAAAGCATGGCTGTGGCCAGTGCTGTCATTGCCACTGTCCCGGGGAGGGGTCTGGGGATGTGTGAGCAGCTGGTGTGTTTTGCAAAGATCCTGAATTTCTGTGATGTGAACGCTATCTTTGTGCCAGGGGCATCAGTGGTGCTTCCCCAACTGTCCCAAAACAGAGAAAAAATAATGTGGAGCATGCAGAGGAGCTGCAACCCTGCAGCTCTGAGTGTCCCAGCTGTGGTGCAGCTCCTGGGTGAGTGGAGTCGAGGACAATCCATTCCCAGCACCCTTCCCTGGGCCAGGGGAGTGCCCAGGTCAGGGCTCTGCTGCCTTTAATTTGGAAGTAAATGCAGCAACATTATTTTGAGGTGGCCTTGCAACAGGGCAAGTGGGGAGATGCTGCAATGACACTGGTGGCACTTTTCCTGTCTGCAGTGGAGTCCTTCAGTGGCCATCTGGGCTGTGTGTGGCTGTGGGATTGTGTGGGCACCATCCCTTTGGGAGAGGCTTCACGGTGCTTGTTGCACCCATCAGGAGGTGCAAAAGCTGCTCTTTGGGTTTTCCTGTCATTTGCTGGAGAGTGAAACTTCTTTGTTGCCCAGGTGCCTTTCCCATGTGCCTGCTTGTCCCTTGTCCTAGCAGGACATTTTTGTCATGGCCTGTTTCCTGAATGGAAAAGCATGTGTTGCTGGTTCCTGTAGCAGAGGTGCCAGGACCAGGTCCTGTGTTGGCTGCAACTGAAAGGGGACAAGCATTGCCTCTGCCACCCCTGGCCCCGTGCGTGCTCATCCTGCAGTGCTAAACCCTAACACTGGTTTTATCTCTGGGCTCATGGTGCCGGAAACCACAGCTGTTCATTTCACTGCCTCTGACTTGGGGCTGTGTGGAGCAGAGTGAAATCAGCCCATCCTCCTTCCTGCCTCCCCAAAACTGGGGGCAAACAGCAGCAGAGTGTGAACTGCTCCTCTCTGGTTTACTTTGACAAAAACGCCCTAAACCGAAGACTGACGTGATTACAGATGATGCATTTTCAATTAGCCTTTGTTAATGCTATTAATAAGATTAATAATGTACAGTAAAAATGTCAATAAGCTTCTCTCCATAATTTTTGGATCAGCCTCTTGGCTGGCTAGCAGCGCGCCCTTCCCCGCGCAGCCTCTGCGGGCTCGGGAGCGAAGTTGCTGCGGTAGGATTTGATTTCCAGGGAGGAGCAGATAGGGCACGTTCGTGCTCTCCCTTTGGCAGCCGCTGCTGTAACGCTGCCTGGAGACCCAGGGCTTGCGCTCAGAGCGCTGGCAAACTCAGGGCAGCCAGGGACTTTGCAAAGTTGCTGCACAGCAAAATCTCCTCTAAAAAAAAAAAAGCTCATTTGGTATTACCTGGGCTGGCGTGGGTGACCCCGTTATGAACTGGATGATAAATCGTGCGAGGAGCTCGCCTTCCTTCTCCGGTTTAAAAAGTGCGACACAGCAGCGACCGGTGTTAATGTACAGAATTAATTGCCCCGGTGAGACACTTCTTCCCAAAAAGTAATAATAGTTAGGACTTAGCCTGGTGAACGTGAAAACCCTCTGGTATACTAATAAAATGAAAAGGTTTTGCAAAATAATATCCCAAATAATTGGGTTCCCTCTACCAAAGGACCCCATGTTGCTTCTCTTAAGCAATATATAAAGAAAATTGTGATTATTCCTTTGGACTTAATAAAACGTAATTGGAAAAAATCTTGAAAGAAAACATAAGGTAATCGCTTTCACTTTTCCCAATCAAGTTGCTTTCCCTCTTCCATCCTCCTTGTAGGGTGAAGAAGTCTTTAATGCCTTTGGATCATTCAAGAGGCAAAATAAAAGGGGGGGAAAAGAAGCAAAACAGCTTTTTTCTCTTTTTATTTACAAATGGACTCAATGTTTATTTGTGATGGTAAAGCACTCACCGCAGCTCTCTTTGGTTTGAAGGGCTGGCTGCTTTGACATTGGGGATTTTTAAAAAATTTTCAGGGGTTCACGACTGTTGGAGGGAGATTTGAGTCTTGATAATTTTTTAAATTTTTTTTTTTTTAAGGCACATTTGACCGTTCAAACTTTTGAACAGCCCCGGCTTGTACATCCCCTGCCCGTCGCCCCCTCCTCCCACTCCCCAGAAACTGCATGCTCCTACTGTGCTGCATTCATAATCAAATTAGTGCGCTGTGAATAGGTTAAAAAAACTGTTATCCAGCCGCTGCCACGAAAGATATTTTAGCCCACTCCCCACAAAGCCCTCCCTTCCCCGCTCCCCCTGCCTTTTTTCCTCCCTCCGCGAGACATAAAGACATCCACGCGGACGGAGAGATCTTTACCTTACTTCTCCTCTGCAATCTTAGCCCTCTTTTATTTATTCCAACCCCCCCCCAAGCCACCCAACGTAAGAAAACAAAAGTAAATTCTCCAGAAATGAGCTGCTGGTGAGAGAAAAAGGGGCGCTGGGGGGGGTGGGAAGGCGGAGGGGCTGCTGCGCGAGAGATGCTATAGGGAGACAGCGCTGGAGATAGTTGTCCCAGCTACGAGATAAAAGCTACATTACATGAAATTAATGGAGGCTGTCTGAGACATACATGAATCACTGTTTCAACACTAAGAAACCAGCACAAAAGAATAAAGAAATCTGAGTACTAACTATATCTTCAAAGGTCTCCTATTTACCCAGCTATACCGGGTACTGACACAAGTGGGGGGAAAATATAAGAAAAAAGCACTGCTGTGATCGAATGAATGAGACCATATGAGCTATATTGGTGCCGTATGCATTCTATTTAGCTGATATCAAACACAGTTTAATGAAAGTTAAATAGTTTCTGAGGAGTGCATGAGCTGGAACAGATTAGATTCCACCGAGGGGTCTGTCAGCATATTGTTGCTCACATGTATTCCCTGCTCAGAGCTGCCACAATTCCAGCACTCCATTAGCAATACACAAAAGACTTATGCAGATAGCGGGCATAAGCACGTACCGCCATGTTGGGAAATAAAAAAAATTAAAAAAAAAGAAAAGAAGAGGGGAGAGGAGAAAAAAAAAGAGGAGAGGGGAAAAAAATAATACCCAGATGAAGGTTTTTGTTCAGCGCGTTCATCTGAAAATAGATCTCTGTTATTCGAAAGTGATAAGAATAGATGGAGAAAAGGAGAAGTGGTGGGGGCTGTCAGAAAAATAAAATAAAAATAAAATAGAAAAAAAAAAAGAGGAGAAATATGTAAACTCCTTTGAAAGAACAGATATTCCACCAAGTATATAATGAGGTTTTGATCTTTCAGGGGACAATGACATGGGTGAATGCTGTGCCCTTTTGATTTGCAGGTTACATCTGGTCTTAAAGGCACAGCGGTTCCCGTGGCCTCTCTGCCCAGAAGTTGCAGTGGAAGATGATTTTTTGGAGAAGGGGGTGGGAATTCTTCCTACAAAACAACATCTCTCAGGCTCCTCTGTCTTATTTTAAGATGCAGAATTCATCCCAGAAATACCACCGGACAGCCTGTGTGCCTGGTACAATCGCTGTCACTGAAACTAACATGAATTGAGATTAATTTTTATCACTTCAGAGGATTTTTATTCCTCTCCCTGGGAAAAAAAAAAAAATCCTCCTTCTCTGAGGTGTCTGTTTTAAAATTAATAGTAGGATAAGGCTGGTGGGGGTATTTAGATATCAGATGGCAATTGCTCAGTGATTATTGCATTTTGATTTAATCTGACAGAACTGATCTTGCACCATGAAATCCATGTTTTCACAGGAAAATAGGAGTTGCCATACTGGAACAGACCATTTGTCCACCCAGTCCAGTGCCTGGACCCATCCATGGGGGTAGCAAATCCCTCCTGTACTTGCACCCTCCACAAATATTAATCATGTGTTCCTCCTTGCTCCTGACTTTCAGTCCCTCCATGCCCTATGGCAGCAGCATTTCTTTGCCTTGAAACTTTTTTTTAACCCAGCTAAGTGCAGCCACGAATATTATTTCTGCCCACAGAAATGCTGCAAACTCCTTCTGGAGCGTGCCTGGAGGTGACAGGGACATTTTCATCCGCTCAGGTGTGGGAGGGCAGGCGCTCTCCCCCATCCTCTCCCCTTCGCCTTCTCTCCCCACCCTCCTCTCCTCTAATTTGGTCAAAGAAAAGGGGGCACAAGCGAAAACATGATGATTTGTTCAGGTTTCTTTCTCTGCAGCTGGGAGCCTGCCTTATTAATATTATCTGGGCTGGGAGCGTGCAGTGTTTCCTCAGGCATCTCTTCTGAGTCATTTTATCATTATTCATAGGGATAAAAATGGCCCAAACCAAGGATCCATTTAGGGTTGCCTGTCAGATCCACTAAGGTAATTGGCTCCATTTCTTCATTCCCATTCTAAATTAAAATAATTTTATTAAGTGGTACAGTAGGTGTTTCACCTGTGTCACCAGCTGCCTATTAGAGCCAGAAAGGGCTTTTCCACATTATTTCTGTCTGTTCTTATAACATTATGTCATCGTATTCCGCATTACTTCGTGTCAGAGGTTGCGCAGTTTCGTGTACTTAAGTCCAATGGTTACAAAATGTAGGTCCAAGATGCCCTTTTTGGGGTGAGGGCAAAGTCAAACACACTTGACTGTTCCAGCTCTGCTCACTGCTTCCCAGACAGAATTCACAGGAGGAAAAATTCACTGTAAGACTGAGAGCAGGCTCCATGGCGTGACCAACGAGAACGATGAACCAGTGGTAGCAGCGATGTTCCCAGCAGCAATATTTGGAGGGGGGGAGCTGGTGTTAGAGCTGTGCTGCCTGGGAGGAAAACACGTGGATGGGTCTCCATGGAGGGAAAAATGCTTGGCAGGACTGGTCCCTGCAGGTAGCAGCCACAGGCAGTCCTGCTGGTGGCACTAACAGGGAGCTAAATAACAGAGCCTGGACAGGTGTGCTTAGAGTTAGTTTCTTCTTCAGAGCAAGGTGGTTCTTCCTCACAGAAATCCAGCTGGGATCACTAATCCCACTTTAGAGAACTGAGATGAGGCTTGAAAGCACCATGGTGAAGGAGCTGTGTGTCAAAATAAGGAGTTTGCTGCTCCCAGGTTCACGTTTAGAGCATCCAGCCGTGTCTGTCAGGGATGGGGGCTGTGCATCCAGCAGCAGTGTTTGCATTTTGTGTTCAAATACAGCAAGAAGCATCTCCAGCCAGTTTTTGGCAGGTGGATAAATACACATTTGGGTGTCCATCTGAATTAAACTTCTCAAGAATGGGTCATTGACAACTGAGATCCCTACACCCCATTAGGGCCAGGGAGCCAGGAGCAGTTACAGAAGCAACATCAGAGAAAATTGCTGGTTTAATTTTAGGCTCCCCACAAGCCACTAGTAACTAACCAGGTGGAAGTTTCCACCAGCAGATAAGACAAGCTGTGTTATCTGAGAGTGCAAAAAGGTCACTTTTCCAAGGGACAAAGCCATTTCCGTCCAGAAAAAGGTGCAGTTGCACAGGAACATTCCTTGTGGTTAGATAGGGAAGGAGGGGGGGTGGGAAAAAAAGGCATGTTTGTTCAGTTTTCAGGGATCTTGCAACTGTTTTTCTTCAACCTGCAGGTGGCATTAGCACTAAAAATGGATTTTTCTTTCTTTCTTGAAAAGTGTTTAGCAATGAAAGGAAGAAAGCTGCAAGGGGATCTGTAGTAGGACTGCGTGCTTGGAGTTAGTCATGCTAACTGCAGATGGCATTTTTGCATGTTTTATAAGGCAGGGATATACAAACGTTTTAGCACCCTGAAATATAATATCTCTGTTTTCCGGAAGCAGGCGGGCTGGGAGGACCAGAGGAGCTGAGTTTAGGCTAAATCTGTGCAACTGCGAAGGAGCGGAGCCGTGCTGGAGCCGGCAGCGCCGCGCTGGCACCTGTCCATCGTGGTGTCACCCCAGCCAGGCAGACCTGGAGCTGCCAGGTCACCCCCAGCCCTCAGTTCTGGGTGTCCCACATTGCAGCTCACTGCAGGGCAAAGCTGGTGCCCACCAAAATCGATGGGAGAGCTCCATGAGGGCTGAGCGGAGCGGGATCTAACCCTCCTGCACAATGGGGAGCGCTGGGAAAGGGCTGCTGACTCTGGCTGGTTGCTGGCTTGGGTGGTTTGGCTGTGTAGTGGGGAAAAGGAATAATTCCTGTTTGCCTTCTCTGCCTGGCATGGGGAGATGGAAATACTAATTAGTGCTGAAACAAGGCTTAGAATAGAAAAGTTTGGTTCTTCCCTTTTTGGGGGGGTTTGTGTTGTTTGTTGGATTTTATTTGTTTGTCTGTATGAGGAATGGGAATGAGCTCCCATTTTAAACTGTAAGACCCATCCCAAACCCCATTACCAATACCTCCACTTTCCCAACACACTAAAGTGCCTCACAGGGCAGAATCCCAGTGCTGTTCCTTCCAGCAGGGCTGGAGCCTCATTTCACCTTGTCCTGGTGGACTGAAAATGGGCCTTTTATAGCCCTGGTCATTCAGATTTGAATTCCTGTCCAGGGAAAGTCGAGTCAGGAAAGTTAGAAGCGCAAGAAGAGCAAACCTGGAAGAACAAAGCCTTGCAAAGGCATCCCCCAGATTAAAAATATGGAATGATCATCATAAGAAAACACAGTGGCTGCTGCCTCCACTGACACTGAAATCCCCAGAAGAAAGCCAGGAGAGCTAAAGTGAAGTGTAGAAGCAAAAGGTTCCTAGAGAAAGAAACCATCAGCTGAGGCCACAGAGCTCTCACCAGAGGCTGTGTGGAGATTTCTTTTTTTCCCTTTTTTTTTTTTTTTAGGCAAACCATTTTGTTACTGGAAAGTGCTAATTTGCGAAAGCAAAACAACTCCAGGCAAAGGGTGTGCTTTGACAAATTTCCCATATTGAGGAGGGGCGGGGAGAAGCATGAAAAAGAGGAGAAAATAAATGTAGAACGATTGCAATGTCATGGGGGGTAAGTGGTACGTTTGAGACAGGGGCTAAATCACTGTTAAATCACTGCAGGCAGAATTGATGTGAGACTGGAGCACACTGAGAACTGGGCAGGGGCATAAACCTAATTGATTTGAGGCTGGAGCAGGGAGTTAATTGGGGGCCAGGGTGGAACAGTAACTAACAGAGTGCCGTGATAGCCAAAAGCATATCTCACTTTCCGCCATCCTGCCCGTGCCGGGTGTGAGTGCTGGCAGCTGGGAATCACCCCACAGCCTAAACCACGACCTCAGCCTGGTGGTTGGAGGCCGGCTCCATGCCTTTGGAGAGGCCTTGAGCATCTTCTGAAAGCTCAGCATTGCTCCCTGCCCTGATGGACCTGGGGAGAGAGCAGTACTTGTCACCCACAGCCTTGTTTTGGCTGGGGATGGGGAGCAGCGATTGCTTCCAGAACAATTCCTGTGGAAAAACGTTCACTCTCTCAGAGAACTTCATTCCTCTCGGAGAAGCACCACACGTCCCCAAGGAAACCACCTCGACCAGGTCCACAGTTACTTCATACCAATGTTCCCTTTTTTTTTTTTTCCTAAAGACTGTTGAATTGAGCACTCAAAATTTGAAAATGCAAAGATGAAGGTTGCCTGGGCAACTGCTTTGCACTGAATGAGGAAATGATCTTGTGAAACAAACATTAAGTGATCGTGTAATTAAAGACTGAATCAAAATTCCATTGTACCAGGAAGGAGCCTAAATTAAAGTTGACCAGGCAACTTTCAGTTTGGCATTTCCTAAGTTTTAAGAACTTGATTTAAATTGACTTTCTTTAATTATTTCTCCTTTTGCATGCAATCTTAGGTTTTTTTCTCCTAGAAAATTCATGGCATATTGGTATGTTGTAGCTATGCTCACCTCTAGCCACAATCCAAGTTTCAGCACAGGATCTGTAGAATCCCAGATTCCCAAACGCCCACCACTGGGACAGAGGGTGCAACTTTCATCTGCTGCCCTTTGGGGAGCGACAGCTGAAGGAACAATGTGACTTTTGTGTTTGTTATTGTGTACAGTTTGCCACGCTGTGTCAGATGGGCACTGAATTTAGTCTATACCAGATGCCCCAAAGAAGGATGCAAGAACAAGTATGGAGATGTAGAACAGTCTGTCCACAGGAAGACTTCACCAAGCCACTTGTAGTTAGAGGTTATTTTAAACCCACAGAAATAATTTTTATTTCCCTTCCAACCCTTCCAATTTCCCCTTTTTTTTTTTTTTTTTTTTTCTGGCGGTGGTTTTGAATTTAGATTCCACCTTTTCACCATTTCCATGACCCAGTGTGTCAGAGGAATGTGGTGACTCAGTGCTCCTGAGGTCTGCCTCAAGCTCTGGGGCACAAGTGTGGTCCAGAGCAATTGTCAGCAATCAGCCAGCAGCAGGAGAAGCAGAACCGCAGACCTGCAGCATTATTAGTGCACTTGGTTAAGGAAAACTTTTAGGTGATGTCCAGTTCTCTACACTGCATGCATCCTTCCAAGTAACATCTTCCATTTTGTTCCTTTTGCAAAACCACTGTGGCACCTTCCAGTGTATTTGCCATTTCAAACTCCTCTCTTCAATTCATCTGGAATCACGCACGTTTTTAGCTCACGCATTTTTTAGCTTAC